TTGCCTAACTGTTTCTGTTTGGGATGATGGGGGTTTGTGTTTGGGATGATGAAACAGTTTGGGAAATAGTAGTGATGAGTGTACAACATTGTGAATGTACTTGATGACGCTGAACTACACACTGAGAAAGGGCTAAAATAGTAAGTTTTATGTTATTATATTTTATCAAAATAAAAAATACAAAAAATAGTACACATTGGTTGAAACAAATTCAAATAATGTACACATACCTAAGGCAAACAGTGAATGAGAGAGGTAAGCCTTCCCCCAGTCCCTAAAACCACAGGAGAATATCCCAGGAGATTTTGGAACTACTCAAAGGGGCATGGAGATAGGTTGAGAATGGTCCAACCAGAAGGACCCTGTGATCTGGGCTTGGAAGAGTGAGGACAGAAGTAGGGAGATAGGATGTTTCATGTGGAGGTCCCCCCATACTGTGCCTGTTGCCTGAAACTGTAAGAAAAAGGTGAAATCATGAAATCCAGAGAAAGAAAGAGGCCCACACCAAGGCCCAGATGCCTCTCCTCCGATATCAGGACACAGTGAGGGTATCCAGGGAAAGGAAGGACAGGAGACATTTCTAATCATCTCCATTTTAAAATGATACAGGTTAAATCGTCTAGATAGCAAAATTAAGTTTTCTGCCACTCTGTGGAAATGAAATAACTAAAACAGAAAATGAATCTGAAGTGAGTAATAAAAAATAATCATCATAAATGGTGTGAAGTGTCTCATACCATGCTGTGTGGCATCTACCCTCAGGACGCATTCCCCACTCCTAACTTGATAAGGCAAAGCGTGGGGACAGCAATTATCCCAGGATGCCTTTAGCAGGACTCATAGTAGAGAGGTGAATTGGGCCTTCCCCAAATCAGCAATATGTCATCTCTGTCTCCTAGCACCCCATGCTCTGTTTCTAAAGTAAAACTGATTTGAAACTGTGATATTATCAGAAACCTTTACTATAAAGCTGGGTGGGGATTATGGAGAATTTTACTGTCCTGACTTTATCGTGAGTGGGAAGCCTGGTCACGGGATTGTGTTGGTTGTAAAGAACTGTGAAGACCCACTCGGCTTAGCTCAGGTGAGTACTGTAGGGATTCACAAGGAGTGAAAGGGGATAGTCACGTAGAAATCTAAGAACAAGAACCTTAGGTAGGCTACCCTTTGCTGAGACCAGCACCACAAGGTGCTTTGGGATAAAAGGTGGCTTGGGTACTGAGGCTTGGGAGCTGTGTTCCTTCTCTCCAGATACCACCGTTCACTGTCTCGGCTCCTCTGCACTCTTTCTTCTCACTCTTTACCTGAAAACACCTGCTACATTCCTTTATTCTGTGCTGTACATGTTTTTAAACCTCTTGTCTGTGTTCCTCCTAAGCTAAGCATGAGCCACTGAAAGCCATTTCTTAGTCGGCTCAGGCTGCTGTAACAAAAATACCACAGAAGGAGTGGCTTCAACAACAGACATTTATTTCTCACACTTCTGGAGGCTGGGAAGTCCAAGATCAAGGAGCTGGTAGATTTGGTGTCTGGTGAGGACCTGCTTCCTGGTTCATAGGTGACCACTTTCATGCTGTGTGCTCACGTGGTGGAGAGCGAGCTAGCTCTGTGGTCTCTTCTTCTAAGACCGCTAATCTCACAATGAGGGCTGCACCCTCATGACCTCATTACCTCCAAAGGCCCTACCTCCAAATACCATTCAGCATGTGAATTGGGGGAGTGGGGTGGACACAAACATTCAGTTCATAAAATCCCACCTTCCCTTCCCCAATCAAGTCAGTTTGGCTCCAGTGCATTTTGGGTTAATAATCCTAGCTTGCTATGGAAAAGTAAATGACATGGAGAGATTTTAGGCTAACACATGGAGGTTATTCCGGGCCCATTTATATAACACGGACCTCGGGCCTATCACTTGACCTCCTTGTGCTTCATTTTCTTCATTTGTACAGTGGGATCTATTGCACAGGTTGTGGTGAAGCACATGTGAGTTAATATGTATAAAATGCTAAGAGGACCTGGTAAGCACTCGATTAGTTTCAGCTGACCTGTCACCCCCCTTTCCTATTCTGTTTAGGGTAAAGAAAACACTTTGTTTATGCGACCTAAAAAACCCAGCATCATCTAGCACCTACTTCTTAACATCAGCTGACTCCCTGCATCCCCTGTGTCTGCCACCATTTCAATCCCTGGAGGTGCCGTCTCCTTCCAAAGCACAGGCCTTGCCCACACTGCCCCTCTGACTGGAAGGTTCTTTCCTCCTCTCGCCACTTAATCGACTCCCACTCATGGTTCCAACCTCAACTCAACTGTTCCTTCCTCTGGGAAACCTCTGGTCTCACTGACTTGGCCAAACCATGCTCTATTCTGCCCCCAATAGTTCTTATGGAAGTTGAAATGTGACACTGTGACATTTGATCCTGTCTGCCTCCTCCTTAGCCCATGGCTCCACCACGGCATGTACTGTCCATTCTGCCCACCATTTTATTGCTAGCACCTAAGGCAATACCTTTCATGTTGATCCTCAAAAATTTGTTGAATGAATGAATGAGTGAATGAATAAGGGAACAAACAATCACCCTGCTTTTCTCCTCTGCCTTAAGCCAAGAAATCCAGGGTAAGAGTCTTCTTTTCCCACTACAAGTTGCCAAATATGATGAAAAACATCTATCCAGCATGGTTGTCCATATATATATATATCTTTTAGGGTTATTGATGGTTTCAGAATTCTCCTAAAGACTTGTTTTGCTGGGCACATGGTCTGAAACCAAAGAGAAGTAAGCAACACCTTAATGAGCCAACGAGCCACTGCACACCGTGTGCTATTGGTGGTCCATCCTGAGATGGGTGGGGGTGGGGGCTGCCCATGCTCTGTACCTCCCACTGTGCTATAATACATTCTCATCCCCCCATTTCCTTGGCTTCATCTTGTCCTGGCACTGATATGAGTTGGGCTCCGTGATTACAGAGACAGAGGATCACTCTTATCCTTTGAGGATAAGGAGCCATGTGGGCTGAAACAAAGCTAGACGTGGGACCTGCCAGGAACTGAAGCATTCACCACCAATGGCTCCTCTGTCTGTTTTTCCTCGTGACCTGTAAGGTGCTTCTTCAAGGTGAGCTGGCCACAGCTTGGGTTGCCACACATTACATGGACCAGCTACCTTGGGTCAGGTGTGGGGTTGGATCCAATTGTACTATGCATGGCCACCTCTGATGTCCTTTCAGAGGAGCTTGGGAGGGGACTTCCCTTCAAAGAGCTGTGGGCATGGCACAGTACCATCCCAACTACAGTGTCTCCTATGGAGTCCAGTTTTTCCATTGTAAACTTTGCCCACCACCTTACTCGGCTCTCTGGAGTTAGAACCAGCAGAGCATATATTAAAAGAATAGTTGTCTCTTACAAAAAGAAATGTTAAAATGTATAATAAAATAAAACAAAACATAAAAGGGCGATTTAAATAACATTTATTTAATTTTTGAATAGGTAATATAATCATAATAGTTAAAAATTTAAAAATTATGGAATAGTATATAGTAATAATTCTCTCTCCCACCCTTGTCCCCTCTCTATCCAATACCACACCCCATCCAAAAGAAGTAACCACTGTTGTTTCTTAACTTTTTTTTTGAAGTAAATATAGACTCAAAAGAAATTGCAAAACTAGTCCAGAAAAGTCCCAATATAACCACTGTTTTAAATTTATGGCATAATCCTTCATGAAATGTTATGAATATACAAGCACATATAAATATGTAGTATTTTCTGCTGTTTTTATTCCAGTGGTATCATAGCATACATAGTTGGGTATCTTGCTGCTATAGACTGGATGTTTGTGTTTTCCCCCCTAAATTCAGATGTTGAAGCTCTAACCCCGCCCCCCATGTGGTGGTATGAGGAGGCGGGGTCTTTGGGAGTTACTTAGGTTTCTGTGAGGTCATGAGGGTGGAGTCCTCATGAGTGACATTAGTGCCCTTGTAAAAAGAGACATGAGAGAGATGGTCTCCCTTTTCTACCATGTGAGGACACAGGAAGAAAGCATCCACCTTCAGATCAGGAAGAATACCCTCACTAGGAACCAAATTGGGCCCCGTCTTGATCTTGGACTTCCCAGCTTCAAGGATGGTGAGAAAAAAATTTCTGTCTAAGCCACTTCACCTACGGTATTTTTTTTTTTAAAGATTTTATGTATTTATTCATGAGAGACAGAGAGAGAGAGAGAGGCAGAGGGAGAAGCAGGCTTCCCGCCGAGCAGGGAGCCCGATGCGGCACTCGATCCCAGGACTCTGGGATCATGACCTGAGCCGAAGGCAGACGCTTAACCGACTGAGCCACCCCGGCGTCCCTCACCTATGGTATTTTTGTTATAGAGACCCAAACCAACATTTGCTAAACAAATGTTAAGACAGCTGCTTAAAAACAAAAACAAACAAACCCTGCCTAAGTTATATAATTAACCAAACTGTCATTTTTAATGATTTTGGATCACTTTTCCTGGATCGAAAAGTTTTTCTTTAATGCAAAACATGATAATTTCTTTGCCTCAGGCCTCATTTAAAAAAAAATTCAAAACCTCACGGCAGTGTTTCACAAATATGCTATTTTTAAAATGCAGATTACCAGGTCTTTTCCCCCCAGAAATTTTCTTTCACTAGATCTGAGTTGGTGCCTGGACATCTCCTCTTTTAAAAACAAGTTCCCCAGGTGATTCCTAGCTTCATGCAAGTTGAAGACACATTGCTCTTGGAAAAAGTTATGCAGGAGGAAGACCAAACCCCTTGGACCACCGTTAGCAAGATCTGGTGCATTAAAGTGTTTACTCAGATCCCGGCAATTATTGTCTAGGAATATATTGATTGAGCACAATTTTAAAAAGTGGATGCACCTGTGCATTACCAAACCCACAACTCACCCTGAATGCACACGCCGTGACCTTTGCTTCTTTACAAAGTCCTCCTAGAGTCAGAGAGTTCACCGGGTTCCTCCCATGGCGCCACACCGCTCTCTTCCCTCATCCCATCCCCCAGCGTTCGTGGTTCCTGGCTCTGTTTGTTTAAATACCGTATGAGAAGAGTGCGCCCCGTTCAGAGTCTGTCTTATGACCATGTTTTGCCTGACTCCAGTCTTGGTAGCAGTTGTCTGCATTTTGATTGCCTGGATTTTTAAAAATGCTGATGGAAACATCCAGAGAAGGAAAGAGGAGACGAGAGCCAGGGCCGAGGCTCGTCCCTGGGTGGATGAGGACCTAAAAGACAGCTCTGACCTCCACCCCGCGGAAGCAGGTAAGCATACAAAGCTGCTTAGCTCCCACCTTCTGCGTTGTTTTGATGAGTGCCAGTTGATAGCAGGGCTTATGGAGAGGAGGAAACACTCGGGACAGTTTCATCAGCTGCCTCTGCTGTGCAAATGAGTGTGTGACAGAGACAGACCATTTCTCTCAGGTGGCCAGCTTGGCACCTGCTGGCACCAACCCCCCTTGATTTCTGGATAAAGAGTCAGCGAAGAGCTGTTGAGGGGCTGCCATTTTCCCTGACCCCAATCGTGTTCTGGCTGTAAAATCTTTCTGAAGGGGCACATCCCCGGCTGCTGGTAGCCCTGGGGGAAGTGGTCAGGTCTGAATCAAGGACTTGGAAATGTAAAAAGTGGCATTGCTCCAGGCGCTCACTACCCTTCCTTGTGCCAGACCCTGTGGGTTAGAGTCCAGTTGGCTGTGTCCTCAAAGCTGGGTGTCCAATTTAGCGGACAAGGCAAAAAACAGGCAAAATTCGGGAGGAATGAAGGGCCAGACTGATCATCAGGGGTTTCAAGGAGGCGTAGGGGCATGGTGGGGGTGCAGGGAAAGGACAGTCAGGCCTGGCTGATTCATAGGACATGAGTAGCTCTGGTTAGGAGGCATCTCAGGCGAAAGGAGCAGAAAGAGCATAAGAGCAGGGATGGAACCCCTGGGGAGGATGCTGAGAAGGCAGGAGGACCGCAGTGGTGGGGAGGACGGGTGACAGTGAATTGGGGTGGTGAGCATGGGCCCAGCAGTCATGGCTGGCCCGAGGATGAAGAGGTGGTGAGGGAGTGGGCAGGAAAGGAGACGTTCTTGAGGAGGCTTGAGTGGTCAGTATTTGAGGTACGTCTGAGGTGGGTTTGTGGTTTGTGGGATGGATTCAATTTGGAAGAGGCTCAGTGATTCTCAGCTGGACTCATGATGCCCCCGCCCCTGGAAGAGGCCACCTGGACGGTGTGGAGGTGTGTTGGTGTGCCTGTGTGCATGTCTGTGCACACCTGCTCTTTGAGTTGCTCTCATCTCAGGATTGGGGGCTGGGGTATACAGCTGGCACTCAGTGCTGGGAGCCAGCAATGCTAAATGTACTGCATAGGATTCAAGGCCAGGCAGCCTCTTAGCAGGCCTGCCTCTCACTCTTTCACTGAAGGACATCCCACCCAGATGGCAAGTCGAGAAGCACTTTTCTTGAACAAAGGGACATCCGTTATGATGTTGTGTGCTGGTCTGTCCTGGTAAGGATGGCCTGGGTGGTGGTGGCCATGGGAATGCAGAAGTGGCTGTGGGAACACAGAGGAAGGAGTGGGTTGGGGCAAAGTTCAAGGAAGAACAACGGGGGTTGGTAATACATTGGATATGGGGAGAAGGAGAGGATGAGAGCTGGAGGCCAGGGGAGGTGGAAAGACACCATCATACATGGGGGAGGGGGGAGGATCCACAACGAAGATGTTGAACGTCCACAAAGACGGGTTGGATTTGAGAAGATAACACGGCTAAGCTGACAGGGAAAGACGGGCCAGGTGAGGGATCCACAGATATTGATTGGATGCTTACCAGCACGGGGTGATCCTTGAAACCTAGAAGACTGATGAATTCCCTAAGGGGATGTTGTTGGCAAGAAGACTGAGAATAAGCTGGACACCTGCAGAGAAGAGGGCCTGTGGTGGGAGAAAGGGAGCATGGAGAAGACCACCTGGGGAAGGAGCTCTAAGGATAATGACAACGACAGGCTCTTACAGACACTGGCTGTGTCCACTCAGCATCACATTTGATGTATAGTAAACCACTCAGTCTTCACGTCAACACAGCAAGGTGGGCACTATTATTATCCCACATTACAGATAAGGAGACTGGGGCTCAACTATGCTAAGTGACCTGCCCAAGCAGGTAGTAGTAGAGCCGGGACCCAGGCAGTCTGTTCTGGAGTCCAGATACACAACCAGGCACTGGGCTGCCTTTCTACTAGGAGAATAACCTAGAACAGAGGCAGCAGAAGACCAGCAGGCTTAAAAATGCCCCAAGAGATCAGAGGTAGTGTGCATTGAGGAAAGACCCCGGAATTGAAGAGTTGGGGGGATACGAGAGGGATTGGTAAGGGTGGTGGGGAACCAGGGACCGGGGGCTGGGCCTGAAGGTTGGGAACACAGAACAAAGCTGTGTGGCCCTGCCTGGTCCTGTTCTCTGCGTGCTTATTCATTCTCGCCAAATCCTCTGCCTCTTTTTTCTCTGTTCCTCACACAGAAGAATAAATTGAACGTTTAGTGGCCTCCCCAGCAGCCATGGGCACCTCTGCTCTGAATGTTACAGTTCAGTCTCTCGTTGGAATTTTTGTTGTTCACTTAAGTGATACCTGCTGAGGTCACATGGATGATCGGTGAGAAGCAACATTTAAACCCAGGCTTCTCTGCCACCCAAGTCCCTGCTCCTAACCCCTGGAAGGGTGGACACAGCCCAAGAGAGGATTCACTGTACCAGTACCAACAACAGGTTTAGAGGGGACTGAGTTGGGGGGCAGCTCTAAGGCATATAAGAGAAAGGATTCCATTACTGAAGAAACATGGAGAAGCTTTTGATGACAGCAAGTGGATACCAGATTCAAACCATGTTGAAAGTTAATTCTAAGAGACAAAACAATGAAATAAGTATTTAGGCCCTTCTAGTGTGAGTTAAGGAAAATAATAGGTACCAATCCAAATTCCTCCAGCTTTGGCTCACAAAGAATTCCTACTCCAGGTTCGGAGACCAGAGAATCAGCATGTGTGTGGGCGGCTTGGGGAATGCGGGAGGGGTGCAGAGTGGCCATGCTTACTAGACATCAGGCACAGACTTCCTTTGGGGATGGTCAAACGTGTGTTCTGTTAGTATTTTCAGTTTCCTGTTTAACTGTAGCAGCAGTCTAAGGAGGAGAGATGACAAAGAGAAAATCTTAGATTGTCTCCCTAAAATGAGGCAAAAATCCTGCACAAACATATTCTAGTCAGGCCTGATTCATGGAAGCTTATGGAAATGGAAGTAAGAGAAAAAGATATAGGGAACACATCTCATCAAGATATGTTTGTTTTAATGTTGGTAGAAATTTGTCTTCACTTAGCTTTACTGACCATCCAAAAACTATTGTCCTAATTAAAAGTTTGGTTGTCCCAGATTGTCCAATGACTACTAAGAAAGGCTTGTGTTAGCAATTTCATATAGTTTAACCTAATACACTGTTTAACTTCCAGGTGAGAAAAGATAAAATGGAGAAAACTCAATCATACCCATGGAAGGCAGGAAAGGCAGTGGGGGCAGAAGCAAGGGAAAACCATGTGTTAGGAAAGTGCTCAGTGGTAAGGGTAGATATATGTACATAGATATGCATGTATGTGTATGTATATGATTTTATAAATTTCACACACAAATTAATACATCCCTGTGTGCATATATATATGTATATGATATATTTGTATATATATGCAGAGATAATAAACATCCTCAAGGTTTGTGGCTGGCCATTAAAAAAAAAAGAAGAGGCTTATGTTAAAATCATCTAATGTGGGTAACCCCTGAGAATTAAAATGTTCCCACAGACTTGGGAAAGGACAACTTTTTAGGTAACCGAGGTAATAAGCAGCTGTCAGAACCAGTTTCAAATCTGTTCAATAGATCAATGACAACTCACCTCGGTAAAAGCTTAGCAAGCAGACCAATCAGTGACAGTTTCTTGCTTCTGAAAGCCAGCCAATCAGGGATGAATTCACTTCAGTACCAACCAATCAACAACAGTTTCAAACAAGTAACACTCTCCCTATAGATGGTATTAATCCTATTACATTTCTGGGAGTCCACCAATCCCTGGACTCTAAGCTTCCCAACCAAGTGGTGTGCTGTATAGTTAGCCAATGGGAGAAGCAAGAACCGATTGTTAAATATTCAGGAATTTTGTGGGCCATTTTCGAATCATCAGCTTGAAGTCAGGCCACAATGGAAATTGGCAAGTGCTATAAGTCAGGCTCCCCCACCCCCTCCTAGAGCTGGTTTATTAGCCCACCACTATCGAAAGTGCTATAAAAGGTCAACAGCATTTACTGTGTTCACAGAGACTCTCCTTTGCTACAGGAAGCAATAAATCTGGCTTTGTCTTTTTATTTCACTATCCTTTGACACATACACACAAACACACATGCATATACACACAGCCATTAATACTTTTACATGGTTGATTTTAAGAGGTTGGTTTACCAAGACTCTTATAAGGCCTTAAAATTTTAGGGCAAAGGACAGGTAAACTCAGATGACAGAAAATTAGCAAAGGGAAAGGACTTGAATGGAGACATTGTCTTTGAGATCAAGCCTGGCTGGGTCCTAGGGGAGAGTAAGGATCAACGCAGGGTTGCGGGGAGGAGCAGGGAAGGGCACTCCGGATAACACAAGAGATGATGGAGCTCAGAAAGAAATTCTGTCAAATTCATTCAGGATAGCACTGGGGAAGAAAAATTTCTCTCTACCCTTCAAGGTTCTTCAAGCTGGTCTAAGAATTAAATTGACATGAGACAGATTAATAGAAGAAAAAAAACACAATTAATTACATGTGCACAGAGACCCAATAATAAAATTGAGACCCAAAGAAATGACCAAGGCAGGCAGATTTTATACATTCTAGACAGAGACGATAAATTTGTGAGGAGTTGATAGGACAGAGAAAAACATGCTCGAGAGCTTCAATTAGGAAGGAATTCTAAACAGAATTTGGGCTGAGGTAGTAGATTAGTAAAAAGTAACAAGATTTGTTTATACAGCTTTTCTTTTGGCTCTAAAGTCCCTGTCTCTGGTGATAAGGGTCTCTCTCTACTTTCTGGTACAGGGAGAGTACCTTTCATGAGAGATCTATTTCCTGCTTTCAGGGGGACAGGGGAGGGGCAGAGTGCCCTTCTTGTACCAGCTGTTTCCCAAGTAGCTTCAGTTCAAAATAATCAATATGCCATGGTGGCACCTCTTGGGGCAGCCTGCCCTGAGCCACTACAATAGCATTGCTCTATTCAAGAACTTTCCATCTGAACTCCCCCCAAACTCCCCAGCCCCCTCACACCACAGGAGCTGCTAGTGAAATATACTGCAGTGAGTCAAATGACTGACAGGCCCAGGTGGAAACAGAGTGAGGGCTGAGGCAGGTGGGAAGGAGGTGTCCTCAGGGCAGGGGTTGAGCTCTGACCTTGCTCCGTCCCCACCTTCAGAATCTGTCTCCTGCAAGAGCTGCATCACCCTCAGCCTTATTAACATTGCTCCTCCACATTCCCCAAAATTCTGAGGAGGGAACAAGGATGACATGACACAAATTGGCCTTTTAGCTTCATAGCTAGAAAATTTGGCTCATTTGCAAAGATTTTGAAATAGAACTGCAAAAACACAAAAGCAACTTCTATAGAGATGCAGTGAAAAAAACCCACCTTTGTGTTAAACATTAGAGAATACACGTGGCCTAGAACTTCCTGGCTGTGAAACCTAATTATGGTGCAGTTTAGGGTTCCTTGGCATTAAAGCAATGATAAGAGGAGAGTTGTTCTTGGTGCCAATAGTAAATCCCAAATGTGGCAGCACAGATTTATAGCAAAAAGTGGACCATAATAGCACACGTTTGTTTTGAAATACATGGGTTTTATGCTTGAATGAATCCCTCAGAGTGGCTTGGCTCGTCTAGCGTGGAGGCAGAATGACTAGTTTACAGAGGCTGTTCTCTTTCCTCTTGGGGCAGTCAGAAGGTCAAGGGGAAGGAGAAAAGGACCTTTGGTATTGGTTCACTGCCCTGCTGTTCCCTGGGTTCTTTCTCTCCAAGTCTGGCTCTGCCTTCCCCCTTTCCCCAGGCAAGATGCAGACCTTCTGCTCTGGGAGAAGCTCCAGGAAGAGCAAGTCTTCAGGAGAATCCAACCCAGCGTTGATCAGGCCATTTGTCTGCCCTGCTCAGTGATAACATTCAGGCAGTAGCCGCTTCATTCTGCTACAGTGGGAACGCTTACCTTGGACTTTAGAAGCTGCAGAAACTGCCAAGTCATGCACCTAGGCTGCCTTTAGCCTATACAAATGCTGAATGGATATTAAGAGTTGGTAACTTACCTTTCAAACAGTTAATGAGGCATTTCACGCATTTGCTCATTTACTGCCTACTAAGGCCAGAGGTTGTCAGACTTCATAACAAATTATATAGAAGTTATCACTGGTGTTGAAAGTCTTTATTGACATATTTGATAAGTTCAGGGTTGATATTGATGACACCTGGCTTTGGTTCAGAATTGATCCCTAGAGGGCCGATAGGTGTTTGCTGCCACTCCCCGATCACACCCACTTCCTTTTAATGAGTAACTAGGCCTTCTCATTAAATGTGTACAGTTTGGGCCAAACTTCCCTGGCTAGTAAAATGTATAAGGAATTTTCTCACTAACAGCGATGAGCAAACCATGGTACTTGCCGACGTGGTATTGCCATTGAGGTTTTCAGTCATTCCAGGAGTGAAGTATGTGCATGTGAGTGAAGGAGAAAAAGTTAATCCTCTACCTGAATTCCGCCTGGAATGTTCCAGACCCTCAGGGCCAGGCACTAGATTCTCTTGCTCTCTTCCTTCTGTTCCTGTTATCATTCCCATCTTTATGTGAGGGTACCCAAAGTGACATCCCACCTTCTGGAATCAGACTTTTACTTTCACACTAGACATCTCTACCTCAACAACTCACAGGCCTCTCAAATGTGATGGACTGGTGATTCCTACCTCTACTTCCCCCAGATGGTTCATTGCTCATCCTCTATCTCAGTAGGTGGTCCCATGGTCTCCCCAGGTACTAAAGCCCGCCACCTGAGTCTCATCCTTAGTCCCTCTCTCCCACCACTCCAGCCACACACTTCAGCAGGTCTCATCATTTGTGTCTCCAAGATGCTCCAAGAATTTGTCATTCTTTTGTTGCACACCTAGTCTGGGCCAACATTATCACACCCTGGCTATTGCAGTGGTTTCTCGATGGTTCTTCCTCCTTCACTTTTGTCTCCCTCCAATATACACCTCACTCTGCTTTGTTTTTTCTTACTCTTTGTTTTATGTTGCTTATATGTTGCTTTCTCCTTGCTCCACTCCAGATATTTTCTTCTGAGTTATCTTCCAGTTCACTAATTTTTTCTTTAGGTATGTATATCCAGCTTTAAATCCATAAATTAAGTTCTTTATTCTATTATTTTATTTTTCAGTTCTAGAAGTTTATTTTTTCGTATTTTCTGTGTCACCTTTGTCTTTTCCTGTACCCTACAGATTTATATAAGTTTGTGATTTTTTCCCTCTAAACCTAGTAATCAAAGTTGTTTTATCTTTTCAGTCTGATAATTCCAATATTTGGAGACGTTTTTAAATATCAACTCTGTTGTTTCTTGCTCAAAATGTTTTCTTTTTATGCTTGATTGTATTTGGTGGGTTGCTAGTAATTGTAGTTAAAATTACTTGTATATTGGCATTTGCTTCTGTTAGGCAATGGAGGTATTTTCAGGCAGGACCACCTAATTCCAAGTTCAAGTTTGAGGCAGGACCCACCAAATGGTATAACCCCTTGGGGGCTGTTATATTTATAATCCATGCTTTCTTTAAGGATGTAATCTTGGGGTCCCGGCTTATTAGCCTTCTCACTGTGTGTGAGTCTGGGCTTTGACTCGTGTCCCCCACAACCCCTGAAAATATAAAAATAAAAATTCAAATATGTATAACAATAAAAAAATTAAAAAAAAAATTCAGATATGTAGAGATTGGCAAATACTAGCAAAGGAAATGTGGCTTCTTTGCTTACTTGTCTCTGCAGGCTCATATTTCCCTTCAATTTTGGCCTAGGAATTTCTTACTATGTTGTCAGCAATTCGTTGATTTTTTAAAAGACTTTAAAGATACTTTATTTCATGATCTTAGTGGTTTCCAGCTAGCGGGATATTGTTTCAAATACACCAGTTCACCATGAATAGAAATTTTCATTCTTCATCTTTGTGTAGGTAAAATTTTCTTTTTCTTGATTTTTAACCAGTGTGGAACTTGGATAGCCAATAGTCAAGATCAGAGTTCAGGATTCTGTGGACTCATTCTTTTCATTTTTCCCTGATGCTTTTGAAATGATAATCTTGCAGACATTTTTGAGAAGTTTATTTCCTTTTCCTGTTGGCCACCTTATGACTGTAGGGGAGGAAAAATAATTTTCCCTCTACCCTTTTAGCTTCTTGGCTGAGACAGCGCCCCCCCCCCCCGTAATAAAAGACAGATTAAGAAGACGGGAAAAAAAATAAGAGCTTAATAACATGTATACCTCCTGTATACATGGGACAGATCCAGGAAAATTGAGTAAGTCCCTGAAATGGCCCAAGCCACCACCTTAATTACCATCTTCAACTAAAAACAAAAGAAAGATGTTGGGGGAGGAGGATCCAGTTATGGGAGGTTATCAAGAAGAGCACAGTGTTTTAAACAAGGGTAAGCTTGTTGTGCAGATTTAAGTCCACCTTCTCCATTGATAAGAATTTCTTGTGAGAATCATCCTTTACTTCTTGGTACACAGAAGGCTTAGGAATGGGGATATCCTCTATAAAAATAAATGTCCCTTACAAAAAGGTAACTTTTACTCTGGTTTTCAGAACTTCTCTTGTGTCTGTTGTTTCTTAAAAATTATCAGCTCAATGTAATCCTTATGCCAAAAAGGCATATTTTGGGGTGGCATATTCTGCTCCCCTTCCTGACCAAGAGAGACCGTTTAATTTGCTGCCTTTCTTGTTCGTATTTGCAGATGCTGATGACTGGCAAGACTCAGAGGAAAATGTTGAACATATTCCACTCTCCCACACCCGGTATCCTGAAAAGGAAATGGTTAAGCGATCCCAGGAATTTTATGAACTTCTCAATAAAAGACGGTCTGTCAGATTCATAAGTAATGAGCAAGTCCCCATGGAAGTCATTGATAATGTCATCAAAGCAGCAGGTCTGTAAGGGCTCATTGCATCTTTGAGAATGTCAGCTGTAAGTGACAATACTGCAGCAATAAATTTCAAACACAGTGAATAAAGCCTAGAGTGAACATTTATCTCTAATGTCTTACCCAGCTGTTGACTGGCTACCAGAAACATAATGATTTCCACTTTCTACAAACTGTTGACTGTTACAAACTTCCTGGGAGTAGATGTAACAACAGTTTAAGACTTCTGAAATTACTGAATATTATGATCTTTTATTAAAATTTAAAATTTCTGAACATACTATTATACGCTGGAAGAGAAACATGCCCTTACTTTCCCCTCCTCTTGAAACACATGGACGCACACACACACACACAAACACACACTCACATTTATGCATTTCTTTTTGGAACCAAATTTTTTATATTACACACCATAATGCTCTACTACCGTTCTCTAATGAACTAGCAACATATACCTATATGAATTTGCAAAGTAAACCACAGCAAAGCAAACCCATTTTGAACATAGATTGATATCTCCATGAAGGAAAATAAAAGAGTTACAGAAAAAGGGGGGAGGAGATGTAAGACAAATCCCCCTATTTGAGTATTATTAGAGTATTGGAGTATTATTCTTATAGAAATCACATTAAGTTCATTTGCAAAAAGTATTACATGGCGATTGTGAATCCATTGCTCAAGTTGAAAGGAAGCAAGTGTAAAGCATTTTATTTCAGTTAAGAATACAAATGCCCTGGCTAGTTTTTTATTTAACTATAGCAGTCCCTAAGTTCCTTCTGTGTATAACCCTGTATCCATATGTGCGTGTGTGTATACGTATGATGTGCAGATAAATTTGGCATAATCGAAAACATTAGGGAACAATATATTTCTTATGTGTAGTGACACAAATATTTAGTGGACAGACAGCATAGGTACCAAGGGAACTAGAATCACTCTGTTCAGAAATGTGGGCTTTGTGTTTAGCTTTTGACTTGCATCTCACAATCCAGTCATGCTCTCTCAACCACAGGGAGTGGTGGGAGGCAAACAAGAGCCCCATCAAGCAGGCAGTCCTGACCCTGCTGGTGTAGAGATTATGTCATTAAGTTACTCACTAGGGAAAAAGGAATAGTTCCTTCTGAAATATCCTACCTATGGGTCACTGTGGTCTCTCACCAGGAACAGCAGGCCATCTCTAGGACAGCAGGGTGACTCACATCAGAAGCTGGCCCTGTTTGGAATCTGAAAGAGAATTCAAGCTCCTTGGGCACTGAGATGCACTATGAAGCTTTGTCCCAGGATACTGGGACTGACCCAAGTGTGGGCTGAGGGTTCCCATAGCCCATGAGAGCTGAAGACAGACTTATGTGTACTGAGCACCCAGGGCCAGGAGATCTCATGTGTCCCCAGCAGGACCACAAACTCCACAGTGCCACACTCAGAGTTCTGATATAGGTACCAAACCATTTATAGGTTTGGTTTTTTTTGTTTTTTTTTACCTTTCATGAATGTTTTATTTACTTACTTATTTATTTATTTATTTATTTATTTATTTATTTATTTATTTATTTTAAAGGTGAATTTTGTTTTGTTTTGAGAGAGAGATTGAGTGGGGAGAGGAGCAGAGGGAGAGAGAGAACCTCAAGCTTAGCGTGGAGCTGGATGTGGGACTCGATCTCATGACCCCAAGATCAAGACCTGAGCCGAAATCAAGAGTCAGATGCTTAAGTGACATTTCATAAGTGTTTAAAAGCCATTTTACCATTTAAATTTTTATCATTTTCAATTAGCTTCGTGACTTTATCCTTTTTCAAGAATATCAAAACAAAACAACATTTTGGAGAATTTGGACTGTCAGAACTTCCCTTCTGGATTCCCTTAATGGTCATGGGACAGTTATTTAGGAATGTTTTACGGAAGTGATGATAAATTCCCATAGCCCTAGAACCATTCTTCTTGACCTCAGTTAGCTGGTTTGTTGCCCCTAAAGTGATGCAGAATGAAACCAACATACCAGCGTCTGTGGCCAAGAACTTCGTTCACCAGGTGATCTAACTTCATTTTGAGCAAGTATGAGTTATTATATTTATTCTTTTTTTAAAAGATTTTATTTGGGGGCGCCTGGGTGGCTCAGTCGTTAAGCATCTGCCTTCAGCTCAGGTCGTGATCTCAGGGTCCTGGGATTGAGCCCCGCATCGGGCTCCCTCCTCGCAGGAAGCTTGCTTCTCCCTCTCCCACTCCCCCTGCTTGTGTTCCCTCTCTTTTGTGTCTCTCTCTCTCTCAAATAAATAAATAAAATCTTAAAAAAAAAGATTTTATTTATTTGAGAGAGAGCGAGTGAGAGAGAGAGCACGAGCTGGGGTGGGGGCAGAGGTAGAAGCAGATTTCCCGCTGAGCAGGGAACCCAATATGGGACCGATCCCAGGACCCCGGGATCATGACCTGAGCTGAAGACAGACACTCAACCGACTGAGCCACCCATGAGCCCCTATTATATTTATTCTTAATGAACTTTCTTGCATTTTCCTGTGTTTTAATTTCTGATTTCAATTTAATGGATGATAGGAACTGCCCCAAGTGGGGCCCACACGGAGCCCTGGACCTTTGTGGTTGTGAAGGACATGGACATGAAGCACAAGATTCGGGAGATCATTGAGGAGGAGGAGGAAGTAAACTACTTGAAAAGGATGGGACGCCAATGGGTTACAGATCTGAAGAAGCTGAGGTACAAAAGCTGATGGAGTTATTAACCTCTCTGTGCTTGGTTTTCTCATCTGTAAAATGGGAATGTCTAGGATTTACTTCATTATGAAAATTAAATATGTAAGCACATTTGCCAACATGTAGAACAATGATGGCACCTAGTAAGTGCCATATGCATCTTTGGTAAATAAATGGGCTTTGACCCAAGTAATAGTAAACAAAATGTGGAGGACTTACTTCACTTTTCTCCCATCTGGAATGTAAGATTGTGAGATATTTCTCAGGACTTTGACTGAAGTAAATTACATTTGCTAAAGTGATACCGTCTTCCAAGTGATATTACTAAGCAGGCTTTAGTTTTAGGACATGCTTAGTAAGAGTAGATACAAGTGCAATATCTATTAGGCATTAGTCACTGTGCGGGCTTCCTTATCTCCCAGAAGGAAGTGTGGTGAAACTCATTGTAACTAGATTTAATGAAGTGCCTCCGTGCATTAAGGTACGTCCTGCAAGTTGTCAGTTCCTTTAGTAGCTGCAACTAACAGTGACTTGTGGAGTCCTCTTTCCCCACTGAGGGCCGGTCATCCTTCATAATATCTCAGAAGCATTCCATAACTTCTCAGTCACTTTTGTCATTAAAAGTGACTTTCAATTGTTTAGACTCAGCCTTGTCATTTACCGAGTCCTCAAAACACTGCCCTCCCCACAAAGGCCGTTTCCTTTCCCCTCCGGGGTGCCCTGAGGCTGAGCGTGAGGAGGGACAGTGGGCAGAGATGTTGGTTCTTACTTCAAAGAAGGGAAGCTTGCTCTAGTCATTGGCGCTTGGAATACAGAGGTATTCACACCTCTGGCTCTCAACTGTGGGCCTTCCATGGCCAGTCCTGGGGTGTTATCCAAAACCCCAGTGTGACCCAAGCTTGTAAGAAAGAAAGGGCAATGAGATTGCAGCCTTGGGGAGAAGGGGGAACCTCTTATGCAGGAGTCAGGGATGGGTGATGGGAAGAGGGCCTCTTGGCTCTACTCCTGTTTCATTTATTTGGCCCCAGAGGACATATTTTTCCTAAGATATTTAAATCCTATTAAATCGATGCCTTATGAAGTTGTAACTTGTTGCCATACTCTGGAGCTAGTGCAGGATATTAATAATAAATATAAAAATCTTATTGCATATTCATGGGGAAAAATGGGATGGGTAAAAGTTAAGTTGAGTTCCTACCCTTAGATGTCCTGCCCTTTGCATGCTCAGTGCCTACAAAATGCTGCTGGGCCCTGGCACTCTCCCCAACGAAGGCAGAATTAGTCACTCTCTCATCTCTGTGCTCCAAGCACCTAATATACAACTTCTGTGCATCTAAAATGGCCATTTTATCACATAGCATTTTAATTATTGGTTTATTTTTCTTCTCATGTTATAGGCCATATTTTAGAATATGACTTTCTCTGAAGGCAGTATGTACAAACTCTAGGGGTCCAAATTTAAAATGTCACATTATATCATCTAGCATAGTGCTGATACATGGTAGGTAATTGAATAAATGTTTGTTGAATTGAATTGCAAATGAGCGTATGTCCTGACATCCTGTTGGAGTCCACTTTGAAACCTGTAGCTGTCATTAAAGACTCAATATACAACCTGGGTCCAACCTACTTGTCAAACCTTATATTTTTCTGTTTGCGGGTTTCAGCCCTCCACCCCAGGCAGAAGGTGCTACTTGTCCTTCTCTTAATAGGTTTTGTTGCTGTGTTTTTATTAGCTTTAATGTGATGTCATAACAAATTCTTGTAAAATTGAACAAACCAGAAATATTAGATACTAATGTATGTCTAGGCAAAAAAAAAAAAGCACAAAAATCATTGAAAATTAATAATCTGCCTTTGAACCAAGGTAAATTGCTTAATCTTCATCTTGTATTCAAATGTTTTTTTCATTATTCATTGTAAAATAATATTAGTAGGAATAATACTAACACACACATATCAGTGTGCTAGGTTAGGTACTGTTCTAGGTACTTTATCTATTTGACTGATCTCACCCTCACAATAGCTGTATGGAGTGAGTGTCTAATAGTGCCCTTTACCTATGCAGGAACTGAAACATGGGAAATTCAGGAGGTTGCCCAACATGGCAAAACTCGTCAGCTCCAGAATTTATCCTCTTGTAAACAATAAACATTCTCCCCATTTGTAAGGGGAAAAGGATTGATAATAGCCCAGTGTGACTGATTGAAGCATGGTTCTACACTTGATCTTAGCCAAAAGGCAGAGAAGCTGTAAGCTGATTGAAGCATGGTAAGGTAGCTTTGGAAATGTAACCTGTAGAAGTTAAGAGTGTAAGAGGAACCATAGAAAACTGCACAAGTGAGTTTAGTATGTTTTAAAACAGTGAAGCATAACTAGGCTTAAAATGAAATCATCTCTTGTTATTTAATGACCTAATGTAGCTGTATCCTAAAAAAAATTCTAATATACAGCATTGCATGAGTACTACTTTGAGTATCCGTGCTGGAATAAAACTTTTGCCAAATGTATGGGATAGGGTAATGGAACAGAGAAAGATATCCTCCATAGCTGGAAAGCAAAAACTGAAAGTTAATATTTATACCTCACATGAATTATCTCCCACTCCCACAAAGATCCCTTCCTTTTCTCCACAACTGGGCTGAGAACATTACTATCTCTGCCCCTGTGATTTTGGTTAAACCTCACCAGCACCCTTTTCCTTTGCTCCTGTACCAGACCTATCAGCTCCAGCTTCTACACCTCCCCAAATTCTCCTGGTCCCTTGCCCACATCAATCTGCCTCTTTCAGAAATAGACCTGATCACATGATGCTTCTGCTCAGAAGCTTGTAGTCACATTCCATTACCTACCAAATGAAGTATGGAGCAGCCCACCCATGCTCTACCGTGCACCCCATCCTCCAGCCTACCAGGCTTCTGAAAACTCCCTGGCCTATTAAGCATCCTCTGTCCTGAATCTGCCTTTACTCATCGACTCACTAGGATGCCCTCCCCAGTGCCCCCTTTCCATCCGGTCCTCAGTGCCCCACCTCAAAGGAAAATTTGTAAAAGTTCTTCTAATCTGCTTATTCAAAATTATCAACACTTAATTTGGAGGACTCCTAATGCGCTTGACTTACATTTCTTTAATTCCCCTTGCCAGGTTTTAGTTTGCCAAATTTTACATATTGCCCTCTGGGTTATAGGATCCATTTTTGTATCTTTCAGCATTTCATGTGCCTTGCCATACTATACCCGTATGAACATAGGTTTATTGGATTGAATGACCCTGGACAGGAAAATATGATAGGACACAAACAAAAATTCTGCTCTTTTTCAATTGAAATATAAAAGACAAGAAAATTCTTTAATTTTATTTTTTGTAAAGATTTATTTATTTATTTTAGGGGGGCAGAGGGAGAGGGAGAGAAATCCTCAAGCAGACTCACCCCCCACCCCCCGAGCACAGCGACCATTGTGGGGCTTGATCCCAGGACCCCGAGATCATGACCTAAGCCGAAACCAAGAGTTGATGCTTAACTGACTGAGCCACCCAGGCGCCCCAAGAAAATGCTTTTATTTTAGACATAAATAAGCTAATGTTATAAAAAAAAGGGGGAAAAATCATTAAGAGCAAATAGTGTCTGGAATTATCTTTTTTTCCCTTCAGAACCAATTGGATTAAGGAGTACTTGGACACAGCTCCCATTCTGATTCTGATTTTCAAACAAGTACATGGTTTTGCTGCAAATGGCAAAAGAAAGGTCCACTACTACAATGAGATCAGTGTTTCCATTGCTTGCGGCATCCTCCTGGCCGCTCTGCAGGTATGTTACCCTCCCACCCTGCCCCGAAGAGAGAAGCAATACTCGAGGGCCAAATAGTGGCCTTATTCACACATTTCAGACATCTGGAAGTTGTTTATCTAAAGTTGAATTCCTAAGTAAGGCAGCTCTGGTGTAAAAAGTCACCCTGGAAACCTGGATAGGTGAGTCTAATGGTGCAACAAGCTGGAATTCTTCCAGAAATTCACTAGTAACATCACTCAGGCTCAGAAAAACAGTCACTGGATTTGCCTTCATCTGTAACGACAGGAAGCTTCCAGTGTTTCGGCGGAAACACTGCCTAGCTGTGCTCACTGTTGTCTGAGGAAACGGAATTACAAAGCTCTAAAGAGGACTCTATCATAGAGCTCTTCCTGGAGAGTGGAACTGACATTGTATTGCATGAGAAAGGTGTATATGTGCTTTAAAAAATCCCATCTATGTAGTAGCTGGAGCAATGTTAAGCATGAAATAGAGCAGGACTGAGGTACACCTTTTACATGATTCAGTTCATTCACTCAGCCTGTAGTTTCTGAGCTCCTTCTATGTGACAGGCCCTGGGGTGGGTGCCAGGGATAGCTGCCTTGTGAACTGTGTGTGCATTCCGCTGGGGACTGGGGTGCATTGGTGGAGAGACAGGAAACACACAAGGCAAATGAAGCAAACAAGAGTATAAGAGCGAGTGATCATACTTTCAAGGGACAGTCAATTCTAAAAGCCTACGTGCTTCTTCAAGAAAAATGTGCATGCCAAAAACACCTTGCAAAATATAGTCATTGTTACACAAAAGAGAAAATCGCTTTTAGGGCACCTGCGTGGCTCAGTTGGTTAAGCGACTGCCTTCGGCTCAGGTCATGATCCTGGAGTCCCAGGATCGAGTCCCGCATCGGGCTCCCTGCTCAGCGGGGAGTCTGCTTCTCCCTCTGACCCTCCCCCCTCTCATGTGCTCTCTCTCTCTCTCTCATTCTCTCTCTCAAATAAATAAATAAAATCTTTAAAAAAAAATCGCTTTTCGATTACTTGAAAAGTTGGCCTCGAGGAGGTGACGTCTTATTTCCTTCCTGATTCTGTGAGCAGTTAAATAGAGGAAGTGATGTGCAAGGTCGGACCATATGGCCCCACCATTCATTCATCTTAGGGTGCTGGAAGAAATGCAGAGTTCACAGAAGTTTTCCCAAGCTCTGAGTCGGCAGCCCCGTCACGTTAGTGTCGAGTGTGCTGCCCTCTAGCGTCTCCTCAGGCCTAATTCTGAGTGTAGGTCCTATTTGTGAGGGAGGAAAGCGGAATCTTCCTGAAACCCCCACCTGCACAGATCCCGTAATGACCACCAGGCCAAAGAGCTTCTCCTGTACGACTCTCAAAGTCAGTTCCAGAACTTCTGCCTGGCTCAGGCTTAGCAGTGACCCTCCGGTTGGGAAAGTAGGGGGATGGAGATAGTCGGCTTGGGAGGCATCTTGAAGCTGCACATGATTTTGACTAGGTGTTTATTATCTGGAGGGGCTTGGGGAGAAGTTGATGGAGTAATTCTTCTACTTCCAATGGATCCCCGAGCCCCTGGGTCTTCTGTGATTGGACAGAGGTATTTTCAGCTGGGGATGATACTCTGCCTCCATTGTTGACTTTATAAGCATAGGAACTCCCTGGTTGTGGGGCCGTTCCTTTGGGGTATTTGGATTCCCTACATTTCCTTCCATGAAATAACCATTGCTAATTCTTAACCATTGGTGAAAAATAAGACTAGTATTTTTCTTCCTCAAGAAGCCTCTCACCGTTTGGTCAAAAGAATGTGGGGACTGGGAGATTGAGGAGAGCAGGTAAGGTTCAAGATACAATTGCCGGGGGTGCCCAGCTTCAGGGAAAGGGCAGGACAAGCGGGCCTCATAGGGATCAGAACGTCCCCAGGCTACAGGAAAAGCCGTGACTTCTTCGGCCACTGACTTGCCAATGTATTCTCTCCCCTCCTGTTGTAGAATGCAGGCCTGGTGACTGTCACTACCACTCCTCTCAACTGTGGCCCCCGGCTGAAGGCGCTCCTGGGTCGCCCCACAAACGAAAAGCTGCTGATGCTGCTCCCTGTGGGGTACCCCAGCAAAGAGGCCACAGTGCCCAACCTCACACGAAAACCTCTGGATCAGATCATGGTGACCTTGTAGGCAGGAGTCCATCAGGAATGCTGACAGACGATGGCCTCGTCCACTCTGGTCCCTCTTGGGTGTGCAGGTTGCTTTTTCCATGGGTGTTAGGTCTCCCCAGCGCGCCACTCCACTCAAGAAACTTTCCACGTCATCAGGCCCTTGGAGTCTGAGAAGCCCTGCTCCCCATAGTGTGATTAGGTGAACGTAAACAGTAAGAGGGCACTGGGTACTTCCATGTCTCATCCACTCTGGAAATGCATTAACCTTTTACAGAGAACAGGCCCTGATTTTTAAGTTTTTAAAATCGTTCCAGAAAAGTCACTGGTGATTTTTTTCTCTTACATTTTTTTTAAAGATTTTATTTATTTATTTGAGAGAGAATGAGATAGAGAGAGCATGAGACGGGGGAGGGTCTGAGGGAGAAGCAGACTCACCGCTGAGCAGGGAGCCTGGTGCGGGACTCGATCCCGGGACTCCAGGATCATGACCTGAGCCGAAGGCAGTCGCCCAACCAACTGAGCCACCCAGGCGCCCTTCTCTTACATTTTTAAAAGCTGGTAGATAGGAAAGAGTCATCAGAATGTGTAGCCCGAGAACTCAGCTATGTGATCATTCTTGAATTTAAATTTAGACTAATCATATAGCCTCTGCCTTCTGATTTCTGGTGGCTTTTAGACCAGGATGTGCTTTTGAGATTTACTCTTTTACAGAACTTCATGGATATCCTGCCCTTTTTAAAATAAGTAACTGTCAAAATACTTCAAACATCACAGTCACAGAACAGAGGAGTGCATGCTTGAGCAGGTGACTCTGACCCGTAACCATCTGAGCATGTGAAGGCTTAGTCGCATCATCGAGTGGTGTGTTGGAGCTGGCTCGCACCAGCTTGTGGAAGCCAACTGTTAAATATTCAGGAATTTTGTGAGCCTGTTATTTAACTATTTGTGGTTGGAAATCGCCCATGGTGGGAGTATTTACACCACCGCGATCGATGGATACTACAAATCAGGGCTTGTTTTCTTTTTCCTAAAGAGACAGTTTTCCATACGCAGCGCTCACGGTGTCTCCCTTCTTTTCTACTCCAGCCCACGGAAGACTTATCCCTTTTCTCCGATGGCAAGTCAAGTGGTTTGGGACTGATGGGGTAGGAGGTGGTAGGTTGGGAATACCAGACCCCATCTTCCGCCCATCACTCTGCCTCCCCTCCTGGGGCGCTGCACACACTCGTGGCTCAGATCAGTTCTCATCCAGCATCCCCACTGGCCTCTGTAGCCCTTTTGTCACCCTTTTTCTATATTCTTACTCAGCTTCCTCAAGAAAAATCTCTCCTGCCTCTTTTCATTCCTCCTGTGAGTCACACAACTTACGAAAAGCCCTCAGGATTTCTGATGAGTCAGAGTTGGTGACGAATCTGTATTAGAGAAAAGGAGGACTTTTTTTTCCCTTGAAAATATAATTAGATATCACAAGAACCTGTGCCCTCAACCACTTCGGAAGTCCTTTGAAGGATCTAGAAGTTTTCTTTAGAATCTCCAAAATCGCCCATCTATAGTTTCATTTTTCTCTAAACATGCTTTTCCCCAGGGCTACACATTTTAATAAATGCAAACTTTCTCTTACATTTTGTTTCCATTCTATTTTAAAAAATAGTATTGTGACAGGCATTTGTCCTGTACTCTTTATTGTAAATGAGCACTGTTTTAACTACATTGTTAAAGACTTACATGGGCTGGAATGGGAGCCTAACCATTGTATTTCAGATTGTTTTTAGTAGGAAAAAGAGATTCTGAGAGTTCCAAGTATCAGAATAATAAATACACTTCGGCATTACGATGCAATGAAATTGAAGTTATACTGATAAACTTCTGTTTCTTATGTTTTGAAACTAGTTGAGCCCAGAGTTGTGTGCTAGTTTTAGTTCAGTCTGCTGAGGGGGCTGAGGTGTACAAGGTAATCTTGCCTCCGGGGAGTGGGGTGAAGAGGGAAAATGGCCACGGGTGGGAGCCTGAGTACCATGTTCAAGTACAGAGTCACTTGAGAGGAAAGGGAGAGCCCAGCCACGTGAGTTAGGAGCCCTCCAGCAACAGATTGCCAAGGCCTGCCCACCTTCCAGATCCCTGCGCCCCGAAACACAGCCCTGGTTTCTCACAGATGCTGAACAAATGTGCAAAGACATAGATTCAGGAAGCTCGACAGCCAGCTTTCCCTTTGGGGGATGGAATTACAGTCGACCCTTGAGCAACACGGATTTTTTTTAGATAAGTACAGGACAGTGCTATCAACGTATTTTCTCTTCCTTACCATTTTCTGAATGACATTTTCTTTTCTCTAGCTTGCGTTATTGGAAGAATATGGTGTATAAAACATAGAACGCACAAAATATGTGTTAATCGGGTATTTATGCTATCGGTAAGGCTTCCTGTCAACAGTTGGCTGTCTGTAGTAAAGTTTTGGAAGGATCCGGAGTTATACGAGTTATATGCGGATTTGGGAGTGTGCGGTGGTGGGGGATGGTCGGCGTCCCTAACCCCTGTGCTGTTTGAGGGGCAACTGTAACAGTGATTCTTGGTCTCCACAGCACAGCATAGATACCCTGGTTTCTCGCCTGGTACGCACCAGCTGGGTGGCCATGAAAAACGGGGATCTTTCCAAGCCTCATTTTCTTCATTTGTAAAATGAAGGTAAAAGTTGCACTTACCTTGTGTGTGGTGAGTCCCATGAAGTTCCTAACGTGGTAGCACTGAGGGCTAGCTGTTATCTTTGGCTCCTCGTATTAGTGGTAGTAGTAGTCTCACAATGATTAATGCTAGGTGCTATGCATGTATGGCAAAAAATAAATAAATAAATTGACACCCTTTAAGAATCTTATCTTCAATGCACCAAATGGTCTTAAACTCTAGAAGCAATGTATCTGCTATCTTTGCTTGAGCCTGGGCTGTCTTAAGGATTTATAGGCTTGACTTTAGCTGTATCTGATTGGGTTCTGGAAACCTCCGCAGGGGTCTATTTAATGAGTCATAAAAAGGTTATTTTCAGGGAGGAGAGACGGGGACATAAAGTAAGATCCCATGACAACAATCAGTGTCAGAACAAAGAGGCAAATCTCAATGTGGTCTGGAGTCTGCACCTCAGATACCAAGCGCGTAAACTCTCAGGAACGTTCCCAGAGAGCAGGAGATGGTGCAGCCTCGTATGGCAGTATCAGCTTCAAGATCACGTCTGTGAAACAAGGGTGGCCTTGGGGGTAACAGTTAAGCACAGGAGCTTAGAAATCACACGGCCCGATCCCTGCCCTACCAGAGAGCTAAAGAAAAAAATTCTTATTTCTCTAGTGACCTGGAGCTAATTGCTTAATGTAGGCTCTTCTCTGATGTGTAAAATGGCGGTAATCATACTTACGTTGCAGAGTTTGGCACAGTGCCTGCTACACAGCATTTCTACTTGCTAGGTGTCTTTATTGCGGCGGTGGTGGATGTGGATACCACTGTCCTCGTAAGGCAGCCCTACTTTGGGATCCAGGTGAGCAAAGTAAGCAGGGTGGGTGAGAGACCGGCCCCTCTTCGGAGGAGAAAGCCCGCTGTGGCTCGGGTGGCAGATGCGGGACCATTTGAAGTTGGCCCACGGGGTACCAGCCTCACCGAGTCAGAGAGCTCCTCGGCAGGTCTCACCACTGGGAGGTTTTTTTCTCTGTGTGGTTAATGTTACCAACTTGATAAGCAGTTAAGTTGTCTGTTTGCATGTATTTTTCACCTTTTTACTTAAAAATTACAATGGGAAGATGTGGTTGTCACCTTGACCCATTTGTTAGCTGTCTCAATGATTACACACCATCAAATAGAAGGATAACTGACATGAAGTGCCTCCCATCGGGATACAGCATGAAGGATTCAGTATCACATTTTAGACCAAAATGTCCAAAGGGAAACCGATTAAGCTGGTACATCTACCTTCCAGTTTAGAGTACAGGATACCTCAGGCATATTGCGGGTCAGGCTCCAGACCATTGCAAAGTGGTGAATATTGCAATAAGGCAAGTCAAATGAATGTTTTGGCTTCTCAGTGCACATAAAAGTTGTTCACACTATACTGTAGTCCATTAGGTATGCCATAGAATTATGTCTAAAAAACAATGTACATACTTTAATCTAAAAATAGTTTCTTGCTAAAACATGCTAACCATCATCTGAGCTTTCAGAGAGTCACAATCACTGGTCACAGATCAGTATAACAAATATAATAATAATGAAAATGTTTGAAATACTATGAGAATGACCAAAATGTAACACAGGGACACGAAGTGAGCAAATGATGTTGGAAAAAATGGCGCTGATAGACTTTCTTGACGTAGGGTTGCCACAAACCTTCCATTTGTAAAATACGAAGTATCTGCAAAGCACAAAAGTGAAGTGCAATAAAATGAGGTGTGCCTGTAAACACAGAGGCTAGAGAAACTGGTTAACTGATACGATGAAATAATCAGAAAAACCAAGAATGTGGACCATTCTACAAGAAATAGGCCTAGACCCTCCCCAAGTTAATGTCATGAAGGAAAAAAACCAGGAAGGTCATTTTTCTATCCTTGCTACTCAGTGTGGCCCCACAGCTCCCACAAAGGCACTGGTGCCCGTGGATGGGTGCCATATTGTTTTTGTTGAGGGGACGGCTACAAGGAGGGATATCTTATTTGGCCACCTTGCTGATGTCACTTCCTCATTATACTTTTATTTTATTTTTCTGTGTGCTTGGAATTTTTCAAAGTGAAAAGATGAAGGAACAAAACCACTTAGAATTAAATCTGAATGGAAATGCCACATACAAATAAGCATTTTTTTCAGTCATAGAAACAATTTCCCTAAACATGCCCCCTAAGCCCATTGTTAAGTTTAGACATTCACTGAAGACACCAGAGATCAAGTTTATTTCATTCAGATTATTTTGGAGTGTCCTCAGGGAGATGAGTTTAAGGTGGGAAGATGGAAATCATAGGAGAAATAAGGCCAGAGGTTTAACTTGCTTGCAGAGAGCCCGTTGGATAGTAAAGGAAGGGAGAGGAGCTTGGGGAAAAAAAATATAAAAGTACATTTCATCCTGTCTGCTCCTGGGATGGGGAGGCTTCCAGGGAAACCGGTTATATCTCGCACTCCCACTGCCCCAAGACACCCCACACTAATTTCACCTGCTGCTTCATAATCTGGGCAGATCAGCACAGCCGCCTGCCAGTGGCTGTGCCTGGAAGAGTAAAGATAATTCTCTTTCTTCTCTCAGCAGCCTCAAGCCTCTTTCTTCTTTCTTCTATGTGTTCTTTAAACGCAGTCCTGTAACCACCGTGTTCAAAGCAGAAA